AAGCCGATAGTAGTATTAGGACGTTGAATTTTTTTGGTTTGTGAAGCATTGGTATTAGTTAGGTTAAACCATATGATGATTTTCTTAAGCCTTGATTTTTAAAACCATTCTATATCGCCTTTTGATTAGGGTTTACAAACTTGTTTGAGCAATTTATCCAATAATAATTGGCCCCTTTATCTCTTAAGCCTGCTCATGTAAAATATTTGGACTCCATACTTCGCCTATTTATATAATATTAATAAAGGACAAAAGGATGAGTATTGCAACTATGTTAAAAGAAATAAATCGGCATTTAGTTCAGAATTATGTTCAGTACATGACTGATATTTATTTATGAAATAAAAATGACAGTACCATTGCATCAGATCTATTAGAAACATTTCAATATAATTCGCAATATCACAACTATAATACATGCCAATCTGACTTTCACATACGGCAAGTCATCACTAAAAGTTCCCAATATACAATTTTTATTAAAGGTTTGCAAAAATTTATTACTTTCTACAGAAATAAAAAAAAACAATAAATGTATTCAAAAGTAACCTCAAACAATACTTGATAAATAAATAGAACAGATATACCTACTTTCTTGTGATGATGCTCTTTAAACCTGCCCTTTTTAAGTATTTCCCTTAATTTATTGTTATTTTACCCCTCGTTTTACCCGTATTTATTATAAATTATATCTGTTTTGAGATCATGTAGGGGAAACTGTCCTAAAATGACATACCCTAAGGTTATTCGTTAATATCTTGCAAAATTCTCATACCTTCGGAATAAAAACTAAAGCAGTTTACATAAATATATTTATTTATCAACTATAAAAAAGGGTATACACCACTTACTCTTAATAAACGTGTTATTGCATATTTAAAAAAGAGTGAACTGTGTCATTTTATCGAAGGTAACTCAGGAAAGATGACATACTCGTATGTCATTTTATCCACCTTCGAGTTTATGAAAAATATATAAATAACTTTTACATTAAAATACGAAAAAATCCATAAAATAAAAACAAAATTATAATTAGGATAATAACAGCACATAAATTAGTGTGGTTTACATATCTCACAAATAAATGTTTTAGCGCGTGTGGATAACCCAGCACATTCCGAATGGGCCCACAATGAACAAGTCAAACAGCGTAACCAGGCTTCTCCTGGTTTAGATCTGCTAAACAGATCTATGCAATATAAACATGAAGCATCTTCATTATCAATAACCAGATCAGCGTTCTCATTTTCTTCATCGGAATTTTGTGTATCCATTAGCTGACCTATTTGTTTTTTAGCCCTCTTTGCAGCGCGCCTCACTCAACTGATTTTTTTTCAGCTTCTTTTGCATTAAGTTCGGCTATAAATGGACTATCTGTGCAAATCTGAGCTTCATCATGTTGTCTCTTTCTTCGTTGTATGGTGGAAGTGGTAGGTAACGGCGAAATATCTGAAGGCTTAACTCTAACATTTACATTAACAGTAGATAATGTATTTCTAGTTCTATCGGACTTTGGCGAGTTTTGTATTAGAGGATTTAGGGAAGGTGATGTGTTTACTGGTGGAGGTGTGTTCGGAGGTCAAACTTCTGCCTCATTAAGTTCATGAATATTTTCCATTGGTAGGTCGGTAGTTTCAGCAGGACAAAAAAGATGATCCGGAAAAAATATTTGGATTTTATGGATTTATACCAGAATTTTTATAGGCACTGACTACATTGTGTATGCTAGCTACCTATCCATAAGCTACTCCAAATATTGCTGCTACTTGAAATTGGGTCACTCTTCCTGCGTGTTTTTTAATCCACTTTGTTACTTCCTGGTTATAATAAGTTTTTAGCGGACCAAAAAACATATTTCTGAAATGAAAGCATTATTATTCCCTTTTCCTTTGCCAATGTTAATAAATTTAAATTTTTATGAGATTTGTAGCCATTAAGTAGAAGTAGCACCTTGTTATTTGGAGAAGGATTTGCATATTCAATAAAGTGATTCAACCACTGTAAAAAGAACTCTCCGTTCATCCAACCAGAGTCACTTATTAAACCTTGGGTGCCCGGTGGAGCACCATCAATCAATTCATTCTTCCAGCGATTTCTAGTAAAAATTAAAGATGGTGGTATAAAACTTCCACCAGAACATATAAAGCAAACAACGGTAACATGTTGGCCGCGCTCTGCGCTTGTTATAGCGCCAACTTGTTTCTTCCCTTTTTTAGCAAATACTTTTTGTGGTCTCTGAACAGTTGAGAGTCCCGATTCATCAATATTCTAAATTCTGGTTAACAATATATCATGTTTTTTTAAAGTTTCATCTAAAATTTTAAAAAACCTAGCGACTGTGGCTTATTAAAAGCTTGTGCCCTTCCCATCGATGTTGGCTCCGGTTCTCTCAACGAAATTTTAGGGTGACACTGTCTGAATCCCCTTAACCATTCCCAACCAACCATCCTATTCTCATCATTAAAACGGTGCTCTATACCATTTTTGACAGCTAACTGATAAGCTAAACTCCTTAACTTATTACACGTAACACCGAAGAGCCTTGATTCTAAGAGTAAAATGTGTTCCACGAGCTCATTTTCTATATCTGGCGTAAATGTAATTTGAAAACGCTCATACCCTTTTGAATACCAGTAATCTGTTTATTTTTATTTTGTGCTCGACGTCGTAGTGTTGCCTGTGGTACCCAAAAAGTTTTTGAAGCTTTAAGCCACCCCATTTCATTGTTTTCAATTGCTTTAATGGCTCTTTCCATATTGTCAGACGGCCATGATTACCTGTTGGAGTGTCTTATATACCTACCAACCATTTCGGCTTCTAAAATAAAAGAAAAAATAACCAACAATTCTTAGGTGCAGTCAAATTGTTTTTGTTTCTTTATTGGTCTAAAATGACAGTGTGTTATTTTAAACTAGTGGTTGGTATGTCATTTTAGAAATTTACCACCACTTTAAATTAAATTCACTGACGAAAAAGTTTTGATGTTAAGTAAATAAAATAAACAAACATGATAGAAAAAATGCGTATAAAACTTACAATTTGTGCAGAACTTCTTCAATCGACGAATTTACTGAGCTTGATATGTCAACGTAAATGTTTCTACAGTAGCAGGAGGCTCAAGATTTGAAATAATTACGCAGCGAAATAATTGAACGGTGTTTACTCGTCAAACTTCGCGGAGCAACTAACCGTTACGTTTATCCTACGGTGTTGCCAAGAATCAATTCATCGTTGGACGGAATAACAAAATGAGTACAGTGTGTCGTTTTACCGGGGTATGTCATTTTAGGACAGTTTCCCCTACTTTATTTTAAAAAATTACTTGATGTTATATTAATACTACCTACCATGTTTAAATTATTAATAGTTTTGTGACTATAGGTTATGTTATAGCAACTTATAGCCACAAAATTATTTTTGTGTTAAAGTAGATCCAGAAAGATCAATATAATTTACAAAGGCCTTCTTTCAACATACAAATAAATGATAACTTTATAAATAAAATGAAAATCCCAACAAAATACCCCGGTATCATAATGGATCAAAATTTGAAATGGGTTGATCACATTACGTCATTAACATTTAAAGTTAGAAGATTCATTTTTATATTTTATGAATTGAGGAAAATTGAGGAAAATACAAATTTTTGTAGATGAGCACTGATGATGGCAAATAAGCCGAAAGCGCTTTGCATTGATTAATAAAAAAGTTTTGCACGAAATACAAGTTTTTCCTTTTGAATAAATATGTATTTGCTGTAAAGAAATCTATTACTAACACATGAAATAATAATAATAAGAAATGAATATAAAATTAAATTAAAATGTTATAGTTATTTAATTTGATATAAACAAAAAATATAGAGCACCCAGTATAGTAAAAAGTTAGTAAATTAAAAACTAAACATTTTTTCAAATTGACGAAGCGTAAAGCGAATTAACTATTTGAATTTAGGAATTTTTCCCAATAACCGACCAGGAGAAAAAAAAATATATTTAAAAACTAAAATTCCTCCAGTAATAATTTAATAAGATGATTTAGAAAATTTTAAAATAATTGATTTAAAAACACTGGTAAAAACGCTTGATAATGTCAATAAATGCAGTTTTTTTTTTGTTTCAAATCAAATCATTCATATAAATCAAATTTTGTATGTATTTTGAAAATGGCCCTTATGATCAAAAAAGCACGCACCATCCAACTTATGATCAGGCGAAAGGATACCACAATTTGAGCTTGTCAGGCGAATCGGGCATAAGTCAAGTCAAATACATAGGTAATATATGGGTATGTACTTACCATTTCATAAAATTTAATTACAGCACAATTAACACAAAATATAAAGCACTCCATCGAATATTTATAACTATAACTTTGCGTCTTGGTTTCTGACCTTCACGTAGCCGAAGAAAATATTAACTATGTGGATTACGATGCCTCCTGCAGTTTTATTTATACTCGTGGTCTCGTGGTTCATAGATGAGTCTTCAAGTCTGGACAGGAAAAATCGACAAGATCTAATATGAAACTTACTCGTCGTACAATATTCGAGTCTGGACAGGAAAAATCGACAAGTTTATACTTTATACGGGTATTCGTGGTATTGCATGTTGCACACAGAATTAACTAACCTATTGATTTTATTATATTTGATAATTAACGCTCATTGAATAGCTATTTGATTTCAAAAATAGATATGTTTTCTGTCACAATAGGAATAGGTCATTATATCAACGAACATAAACTTCGATAACATTATTGATTATATTATCATGAATTGAGATAAAAACATGTTTGATTTATTTAGTGTCTTAGTGCCTTGTTCATTGGAATCTTGTATACAGACCTCCGGTTTGGCGCCCCTTTAGAGGTGCATACCTGCTTAGGAAACAATTTTTTATGAAATACTCTATATTTTCACTCATTTTAATGAATTGCTACAAAAATTTAATCTGTTGTTACAATAATATTTTTTTAAATTTTTACTTCATAGAAATGGTCTATATTACAAAAATGTCAAGTTCTTCAAACTGCTTATCCACTTCGTCTTCTTCTTGTTTCAACTTTTTCGCTTCCCTCTTACTTTCTTCAAAAGCAGCCGTTTTTAAATTCGGGTCAGTACAATCCAGTTCAGCAAGAGACACATCGACATGTTTATTCTTTTTTGACCATTCTTTAATCAGTTGCAAGCAATTACAATCAAATGGATTAGAATCAATGTGGTTTGTGTTAGCTTTTAAAGTTTTGTCGAGATCAGCATCGAAACATTTTATGTTATTATCGTGCAATCTTAAATCATCGATTACAATTCCATTTAATAAATCTTCATGGAATTCGTGAAGTAAATTATTATCAAGCCACAAGTTTTTAATTTTTTCTAAACCTGAAAATGCTTTGGGGTCTAGGTGTTTAATTTTGTTGTGGCTGAAGTCGAGGTGAATTGTGAAATTGTGGTTTACATCTTTTTCCACCCCTTTAATATTTTTAAAAGCATTGGCTGGTAGTTCTTCTATTCTGTTATTGTGCATTGAAATTATTACTAGTAAGGGTGTATTTTTAAACCATTCTGAATTCCATATTTGTATATAGTTGTTAGCTAGTTGAATTTGTAGTAGGTCAGGCATATCATCAAATGCATTAGCATGTATACTTGATATATGATTTGATCTCAAATCTAATGTAGAAATATTTAGATTGTTGAAAACTCCGAATTCAATGCTTCTTATCTCGTTACCTGTAATATGTAAATATATGTTAATGAACAAAATTATTTTTGGATCGAGGAATAATAGCCCAAGAGTTGATGAAGAATTTAGGGAAGGTGTTTTAGGCAACTTGAAATTAAAATAAATAAACAAATCACGAAGCCATATGTCACGATATAAAATAGGTACGACCGTTTCCCTTCGGAAAACAACTACTCCCTTGGTTAGTATCTCAACAGGTAGTGAATTACATCCAAAGGAAGACAGCAGAGACAGAAATGAAATTTTAACACTCTACCTTTAATTTTGCTTACAGGAGAACGTCATTCTTGGACTCTGATTTCGTCCTTATTGGAACTCTTTAGCAAGAAATACATATTTCTCAATTCCAGTCTCTAAAATGGAATTAACAAAGGCAACACATTTACTAATATACATTAATGATAGTTACAAAAAGAATATGAATTCAAGTAGTAAAAATGGTGTCTCCATCTGTTCTTAGTAAACAAAATCAAAGGTTATACCAAGTTATAAAACTAGGTGGAACTGAAAAGCCAGGCTGGCAGTTTTTATAAAAGGAAATTAATTCCAACTCAAATGTGACCAAGACGGAAAATAAACTAAATAAATACATTATGAAGCCATATGTTACAAAATAAAATAGGTGCGACCGCTTCCCTTGGGAAAACAATTACTCCCTTGGCTAATACTTCAGAATAAATTATTAAAATTATATAAAACAGTAAGTATCTATGTTAATAAACATGAAAACGAGAATCTGCCAGAACATTTGAGGTTATTTGGTTTGCTGGGCAGAATATGAGATTCGCAAATAATTTATCCCAAAAAACATGTTATAGACAATCTAAAAATAAAAGTGACAGACTTCTGTGACGGTTTTGAAAATTGACAAATTAAAAATTAAAATTATACCTGTAAAATGCTTTTAGCTTTTTCTCATTATTATTTACAGAAAAATGTCCATAATTTTTACAACATTAAAAAACTAATAAAAAACCGTATGCAATTACAGTAGTTAATGTTAAATACCAACCATTTTTCATAGATGTTTGTTGAAGCAATTATCATAAAAAGACAAATTAATTTTTAAAAATTATTGACAAGTGATCCCATTAATAAATGTTTTCCTATTTTTCACAATAATTTGAATTTAAAATTACGAAATATAAATTTTGCAAATGTCGTTCATGTTTAATATATTAATTTTATGACAGTATTACTAATTGGGCTTGCATATTTATGTTTTAATTCGAGTTTTTCAATATCATAAATAAATATATTTACATAGTTCTATCTAGAGTGACAGCCCTGATATTTGACTAAATATGCTCATAAACGTTTTAGCATCTAAGGTTTTAGCAGTCGCGTTAACGTCACGTTGACGCAAACGCAATTTTTAATTGACACGCAGTGCTTCTTGTCATCTGTCTCCCGAAACAAGGTAGAATAAATTCGGCTTAAGAACAGAAAAGATGGATGTAAGTTCGAAAGAAGAAGTTATATTTGTTCCTATATCTTGTGTACAGTTTGTTAGAAAGAAGAGAAAATACTGCATATATTCTCACTTAAGTTCCCATTTACTAAAGGTTAAAAGGTGCTTTCTCTAGGTAGCAACGTCCATGATATGAATTAGAATCTGAATATGAAAAAATAATTTATTAAAAAAATCCAAAGTAAAAACAATATCTATATTAAAATGTAATGTTAGTCTTGATGTCTCGTCTTCGTCATGTCTTCTTTTTTCTATGGTCGTCAAAAATAAAAATAATAATTTTTTGTCTCTTCATCCATTGGTTATCAAGGTTCCAATAGGTAGGGTGCCAGTTCGTACGGCCATCGACCATGATCATAATGTGTATGATGTTATTATCAGGGCTGGTATATCCTAGGGAGTCGCGACATACGAGTCCATTTTGGACGCCATTTGTTTTGAAATAGTAGTCGCCCATTAATCTGGCAACCTGTAGTCGCCAGGCTTGCCAATATAAGAAAACAAAATCAATGTCTTTTCTTAAATCTCAGTCAACGACGGGACACGATAGTAGACACTGTCATGTCATGTCGTTGCAACGGTCAGGGCTGGTATATCTAAGGGGGTCGCGACATAGGAGTCCATTTTGGACGCCATTTTTTTCAAAATAGTAGTCGCCTATTGATCTGGCAACGGGACAACCTATTCGCCAGGCTTACCAATATAAGAAAAAAAATCAATGTCTTTTTTTAAATAGCATTTTCATTATAAAATGCCCCAATTTTTTAGGATAAAATATTTCAATTTAATAAATTATTAATAATCTCACATGTACATAGAATACGTCCTGAAAAGTAGATCACTTTCAATTTTGTGCTGTTTTGGTTTGGTTTATTTTAAAAGGTAATTGAAGAGATTAAGACAATTTTCTTATAGATGAAGATGCATAACAAATTATGGCTCCCTCTTTTAGAGCTCCAGTGCCCTAAGTCTATTTATTTTAGGTTTTTTTAAAACCTCGTTTTAATTTGCGCATTTGTAGGGGAATTTACCGGTACTTACTAGAATATTGTTGGGGATTCCCCGAGACTCGATTTATTCAGGAAAGAGGGCGATATATTTGGTATCTCCGTGGTATTGAGAAAGGCGTTGTCAATCAAATTTTGTCGGTGTTTCGTTGTGCACTTTTTATTATTTAAATGTCTAGTAGGTGTTGTAAAAATAGGCCTGATGACTTTTGTTATATTTGTGGACACTCTATAGTGAAAAAGTTTAAAAGAAACATTACTGATTTCATAAAAAATGCATATTTTGCATATTTTAAAGTCAGACTTGGAGATCAAGATAAACCTTGGGCGCCAAATGTTATCTGCAAGATTTGCGAAAAAGTCTTGAGGCATTGGTTTAAAGGAACAAGAAAAGCCCTACCGTTTGGAATACCAATGGTCTGGAGAGAACCTAAAAATCACATTGACGACTACTATTTTTGTCTTTGTGATATTAAAGGTCATAACACAAAGTCTCTAAAGTATATTAACTATCCTAATCTTTCGTTTGCAATAAGACTAGTTCCACATGATGCTGATATACCTGTACCTGTTTCACCCAAAGTATTACAGTTTATCGAATCAGAATCTTTAACAGGTTCAGAAATTGACATTTTTGAGCCATCTACCTCAGGAACCGCAGCTTTTTTCCCAAGTAGAACTGAATGACCTAGTCAGGGATTTGGGACTTCCAAAAGACCTCTCTGAGGTTTTAGGATCAAGGCTTGAAGAAAAAAATTACTTGCTTCATTACATTTTATTGGTATAAAAATCGTGAGGCTGAATTTGTCAATTAGTTTGCCGCAGCTGGTTCACTTGTATATTGTCAAAATGTATCTGACTTGGTTATTTACCTAGGTGCTCCTGAATACAATCCTGCCGAGTGGAGAATTTTAAGAGACTCTTCAAGAAGAAAATTACGAAAATCTTAAGGTACTGCTTTTAAGAATAAACTACAGACAACATAACTGTATTCTATGTGCTCACCTTAAAATTTTAGGGTTGCTTTTATGTCAACAATCCGGATATACGATATACCCATGTTTCCTATGTGAGTGGGACAGTAGAGCAAGAAATGACCATTGGACCAAAAACGTAATTCGGGAAAGCCTAGTTGATCCCAAAAAAATTGTATTACCCCCTCTACATATAAAATTGGGGCTGATGAAACAATTTGTCAAAGCTCTAGACAAAAATGGTGGTTGCTTTAAGTACCTGTGTAAAACATTTTCGGGTCTCTCTGAAACTAAATTAAAAGAAGGCATCTTTGTTGGGACACAAATAATAAGGTTGATGGAAACTAATGAAACTGAGCCGGTAATGCAGGAGGACGAAAAAGAAGCATGGACAGCTTTTAAACAAGTTATAAATAAGTTTCTAGGAAAGTACACAGACTCTGAATTTGAAAGTATTGTTGAAAACATGTTGGACAAATTTAGAAAGTTAGGCTATAATATGAGCTTAACAATTCATTTTCTACATGCTCGTCTTGACTATTTTCCGGATAATCTTGGCAATGTCAGTGAAGAACAAGGGGTGCGCTTTCACCAGGACATAAAAGAGATGGAACGGCGATATCAAGGCCGCTGGGATATCAAAATGATGGCCGATTACTGTTGGATGCTTAAAAGGGACCATCCTACCGCAGAATATGCACGAAAAACAACAAAAAGAAGCTTTTCTGGAAAGAGAGAAAGATTTTTTAAGTAAACAAAGGATTAATGTATGTTATTTTTTAACTACTTCCCCGATTTTATTGTTTGTTTTCTTGGTTTATTATCTATTAGTATCTATAAATATATTTTTAATTTTTGCATTCTTGTAGTATTTTGTTTAAAAACCTTTCAGTTGAAAAGTTCAATTCACATTTTACAGAGTATTTAAACGCAGGCCTGTGTAATTTTGGGTGATTTTTAAATTTAAATTACAAAAAAGACAATTCACAGAATACTTTAATTTGAACTGGTCACAGAAAATAGGCTGTTTGTTTTAATAATTAGAATTTAACTAGCTACAATTTATTATCTACTGAATAAGTTTTTGACAATTTCTAATAAAACTTTAACACTCAGTAAAAATAAATATCAATAGCCAATAATCATAGACTTACTTCATTATAATACGTACTTTATTCTAAGGTTAATATATTTTTAAGTTGCCTTTTAAACCCAAATAATAACATTTCGCTATTACTAATGTAATTAGTGCTGCGGTGTTTGTTTTTAATAAAGTCTAGCTAGTTTTTTTAATATGATTTTTAGTCGTGAATAAGAGAAATATTTCGAACCTTTGAAAACCACCTTCGGACCACCATAAATATTATTGGAGGCTACTTAGAGCAACTTCTATAATTAAATAAAATCTTCTAAAATAAGAGTAAACTTAGAATAAAGTAGGTTTGTAAAGTTTTCGGTTCATATTTTTATTTATTTATTTTTAATGAATCTAAAAGCCGCAACTTATTCTGTTGATAATACATTTTAGGTGGTTAAATTCTGATTACCAATTAACAAACAATCTATTTCGTAGTAACCAGCGACTTGTTAAATTTATGTATTTTGTAAATTATCCTCGGAAATATCTTTTATTTTTTCATTTAATTTTAAAAATCTTCCAAAATTAATAAGTTTAGTTATAGGGAATGCTTGACTCAAATGGGACTTTACTTAAGGTACTTTAAATGGCAATATAAAATAAATTAAAAAAAATGATGTAATTGAGTTTTGACTTAGCCTGTACATATTGATGTCGAATTGAAAATGTAGTGCACTGGCATAAAATGTGGACTAATATCTAAATCCTTTTGCTGCAAAAAAAATAGTTTTCAATTGTTTTTTTGTAGTATATAGGTCATTGAAATCCACACTCATTTTATTCGAAACAGTTTATAATACCTTTATTGTCAATAAAAATACAAAAAAAAATATTTCATGCTTTTCCTCAAATTAAATAATTTTACAAGGTTAAATTATTACCTCTAAAAGATAACTTCCTCAACATTGGCACATTACTGATTGCTTCGGGTCGTATTTCTTCTACGTGACAAAATTCAATCACAAGTTCTTCCAAATCTTCCAAATCAGCCAACGAATCCTTATAGAGAACAGAAATAGTCTGTTTTTTTATTTCAATATGACTATAATTGGATTTTGGCAAAAAATCCTTAAGCCGGTTACCGGACGGAATAGTAACTTTAAATTTTTCTGTAAACACACTATACCACTTAAACGCAACTTCCTTGAAAGTTAAGTCCTCAGATTTTGTAAAACAAAAAGAAAGAAAGAGAACAAGCAATACACGATTTAACAGCATTTTGTTTACTGTAAAGGATACCCCAAAACGATATGTTTTCATACAAAGTTTGTATTTAAATTCTCTGAATTCTTTTTTTAAAAGAAATCTTAGGGGGTTATCAGCTGATAACTCGAACTTTATTGATATATAAAAACATGTGTATATTCTAAGAAGATCGTTATCGTAATGCCATAATAATATTTTCATTATAACTAATTGGTGTTTTCAAATTATTATGATATGATATTATTATTATTTTTGTATAAATAAGAAAATTCTATGATTTTTATAAACAAAACAAATTTAATAATATATCTTACGGGGTAGGTCAATTATGTCTGCTAAATAATCTTGACTATACAGGATGTTCCCTAACCATAGAACAGGCTAGGGCTGTTACGGAATATCTTTTTGACGTATCTAGTACGACCTGTACCTGTTCCAAGTAGATACCTATTCCAAATACCTATTCTCCTTACAAGCTATTCCAACTCTAAATTTTATGAATATTGTTGGCGCATGTTCAGTAGGGAGTAGAGGAATCCGGTGAATCCCATAAAAATAATGTATAATATCGATCGATATTGTATTGAACTTAAAGCGTCCCGTTGTTTACATAATAAATAATAACATTATTTAAATTATTGGTCATTATGAATAGACGTTCTAGTGTAATGTGGAATTTTTTTTCGCTGGTAGATGACAAAAAACAAATTGCAAAATGTAATATGTGCAAAACAGTAATTTATTTTTAAACCACAGTATCTAATTTAAAAAAAACATCTTTTAAGAAAGCATCCTACAGTTCAATTACAATTACTAGACAATAAAAATTTGAATAAAGGCAATGAAATAAAACAAGATAATATAGCAGAAGATGATTCTTCTATGGTAGAAGTACCTGATAATACCCACATTACAAGTAAATTCTTTCTTATGCTACACTTTTCTGTATTAAAAAAAATCTTTCAGGTTGATTCCGATTCCACACAGGTCTCTACATCCACTTCTACGAGTTTTGAGTGTATTAAAACGAAATCTACCACCCAGACCAAGATTTCTTCGTTTGTCCCGAAAAAAATTACCCCAGGTTCAAAGAAAAAAATTGATGCTGCATTATGTATGTTATTTTATAAATATTTCCAACCATTTAGAGTGGTAGAAGATGAAGGTTTTCGTCGTTATACTAACGCTCTAAACCCTAGTTACGAAATTCCTAGCAGACAAGTTTTATCCAGAACCTTGACACCTAGTCTGTATGAACAGTGTTTAGTTGACTGCAAGAAATCGCGCCGTTTCTTTAACAACGGATTATTGGACATCGGCAGAAAATGATAGCTATATGGCGACTACGGTACATTATATTGACGAAAATTACGTTCTTCAGACAATGCTTTTAAAATGTTCAACATACTAGTGCGAATTTAAGTAAAGTGCTTAAAACCATAGCAAAAAAATGATGCATTGAAAAAAAAATTGTTTTGGCAGTATCCGACATTGCCGCAAATATAACCAGTGCAACAAAAAATGGGACAGACTGGAAATTTTTTGGATGCTACGCGCATACCATAAATCTTGCAGTCCATGATGCACTGAATGTGCAGCCTGAGGTAATAGAAGTTGTGGGAAAAGTAAAAACTGTTATTAGCCATTTTAAAAGAAGTTCGATAGCTACAACTAAACTCATTACTTTTCAAGAAAACGCAGGCAAAGTTCCTAAAAAATTGATACAAGACGTGGTGACTCAGTGGAACTCTACATATTACATGATAGAGAGATTTATTGAATTGAAGGAAGCTTTTCGCAGTAGAGTCGCTATTTTAGATAATATCGCCTTGCCACAACTTACTACTGACGAATAGCGCATTCTAAAAGAGCTGAAAATTATTTTAGAGCCTTTTGAAGACGTTACAAAAGTAATAAGCATCCGGAACTATCTTGTATCGTGATTGGTAATAGTAACTACAACAGGTCTATTAGATGTTTGTCAAGAACTCTCTCAATTGGAAATGACCACTTCTAGATTAGCAGTGATAAAAAATTACGAAGTGGTCTTCAAAACCAACTGGGAAACGTAGAGTACAGCAATACACTTTCGATGGGAACGTTTCTTAATCCTCGCTTTAAACTAATACCATTTCAAAACGACGCTGCAGAAAGAGTCAGGAAAAACACTGTTGCGGCATTGGCCGAAATAATTTCAAGGAATGTATAACAAACTGATTCACAAAAACCCGAACCTGCAGATAGTGCAGATATTTTCAGAGACCTCCCAAGCAAGAAAAAAAATCACAATTTGGAGTGCAATAGATAAAATAGCTGCGGAAGAAGTAAGCACCCTGTGAAAAACTCGACTTCTAGGGCCATCATAGAAGTACAAATATATTTGGATGATGATCTTTTAGATCGAAAAAAAGACCCTCTACAATGGTGGAGAAAACACCAATATATGTATCCAAATTTAAGTCAATTGGTAAGAAGTAAAATATGTGCTGTGGCTACCTCAGTGCCATGCGAAAGCCTTTTTCTAAAGCTGTCCAAATTATTAGTGAACGTCGACGTAGCGTTAAACCAAAAAAAAGTGCAGATGCTACTGTTTTTAAACTGTAATTCAAAATTTTTAAGTCAGACTTAATTGGTTGTCTTATTTTAATGTTTGGAGGGAATTTTGATTTTAATTTTTTTATTTTGTTGGTGTGACTAATCCTAATTTTTGATCATTTTATATATTTTAGTTTTTAGATGCAATCTTGTTAATTTTTTTTGTATTTTATTCAGTCGTTTTAATTAATGTTTGTAATATTTTTCTTGTTGTTTTTAATTAACACTGTTTATATCCCTCATAATTGTTAGGTACAGTTGATACTTTATTAATATGAAATGAAATTTTTAAACTTTGTTCCGAATCTAAATAATTTTTAAAATGTCACTAGTTCGTAAATTTTCTTCTGTCTTATAAACATATTATAATCCCTAAAAAATACCTACAAGCAAGAGATTTGAAACATCAAAACAAACCTAATACCAAAATACTGAATAGGTACACGAACGTATTACAACTTGCCTAACTAATCTAATATTATTCCGTTTCAGTTAGGAACATCAGTTACAAAGCGCGACAGCATCCAGTGACACAAGTAATAGGTTTGTGTGTTTGGTAACAGGCACACGGAATAGGCAGGAGATACCTATTATCAAAGTATGTGTACCTATTCCAATGTAACAGGTCCAGTTCCATTGTAACAGCCCTAGAACAGGCATCAAGATCATTTTTGGTATTTTTATTAGTTATTCTTTAATAGAATTTGAAAACAATTTTTTTTTGAATTTGTCGTTTTCGGATAATTGAAGATAAAAATTTTTTTTCAAAAAAATTGCCACAAAAATTTAATTAACTTTAAATTTTCTAAAAATTATCATAAAACATTTAACCAAACAAGAAATTTACAATTTTTAAAACCTATACGGTATACCAGAGTGGCAAATCTTTTTTTATTTGAATGAAAAAATACAGGGTTTTCTGAATCAGTTAAAAACTCATACCTATTTACCTCAAAGGCTTATTGGGGTAATTAGTAACAACATCTAAGTTTCATAATTCTTTATTACTTATCAACTTTTGGAAGTAAAATACGGTGAAAAGATAGATTACATTGGTTAACAACGTTAGTATTTAAAATTAATTTGATAAAAAGACACATCTTCAAAGCGAAATATTTATAGTAGAATATCATACCTAACCAAGTATTATTTTATTTTTTTTTTAATATGCTATAGGTACTTAATATTTTCCAAATTAGTTTTTATTGGCTTCTAAACCGTATCTAAAAAAATGTTCTAAAAACATTTTTAAATTCAGTATAAAAAATAGGTACTTACAATAAAAATTGCATGTTTTAGTATGAATGATACTTTTTCTTTAACAACTTGCGTTAATAACTTGTTTGCAAGGTACAAAAAACGAAAATAACAAAAAAAAATGAAAGAAAGAAAAAACTACAATAATTTTTGCATTTTTAAAGATTACCAAATTCTCTCCACCATATTTTTCTTTCTGGTTACTGTTTCAGTAAACACTTTTTTGGAGTAGCCCAACAAAAAAAAACTCCCTAATACAAACATTCACAACATAATGAGTGTTCAGATTTGAACATTTTTCTTTATATTCACCTAGTAAATTAACATCCTGTACATGAAATTCATTATTTATTTAATTAAAATGTTTAATTTCATATGTAATTAATAATAAACACGTTCCAATTTCAGCTCAAGTTCAATGTTTAAATCGTAATAAAAAATGCTGACTTATTTTCAAAACACTGAATTGAAGACATTTAAATTGAAATAATAATATTTTTTTAATATACATTTAAATAATTAAATATTAATTGTTATTGCATATTGTTTATTCTGTGATATTATAAAATGTAGATACAAATAAGAAATAAAGAGAGTGACTTTCAACATGTGGTAGTTTACTTTAGAAAATTATCTCTGAAATGAGATTCATGAAAACCATCTAGTAGTATTACTTACAAAATTATCTTTGAAATCTATTCATGGTCCTTCGAGCAAAAGTTTTAAAAATTTGAAAAACCTATGGAAGAAGCAAACTTTAACATAAAGAAAAACAAGAAAATAAAGTCCTTCTGCCAACCTCAATAACACAAGTTCGACCAAATCCAAGACAAAATCCAAGAAGTAACGCTTTAAACCCAAATCGAAACTCGTGTCAAGCTAATTCGACTACCTTACTACCAAGAACTTCCGCCCGATTGAAGTTCTCCATACTCAGATCCAAGAAGCACCAATGCATTAATAACAAATCGAAGCTCGTATAAAGCGAATTCGACAACTAAACAACCAAAGGACTTCCGCCCGATTAAAGTTCTCCATACTCAGATCCAAGAAGCACCAATGCTTTAATAACAAATCGAAGCTCGTATCAAGCGAATTCGACAACTATACGACCAAGGAACTTCCGTTCGATTGAAGTTCTAAATACCTAAGAAGGAATCGCTTTAAACGATAAACATACAACCAAGGGACTTCCGTTCGAT